AAAAACTCATGAAATGTGATAAATAACACTACATACTATTGATTTGCGTCATAAAAAATAACAACATTACAAGTATTTGGCAAAAAAAAAACGGATTTTTTGTAATTTCCAAAGTTTTACTGGATTTAAAGAATTCAAGAATTTTTTACATAATAATGATGAACTTTAGGAAAAAATGTTACTGAACAAAAAGTTTTTAGAACTGATTAAAGAATATTATAGAATTTTTTCAGAAATTTTTGACAACTTTAAAAATTTATCAAATTTTCAAAATTTTCAAAAATTTTCAAAAGTTGTAAAAAAATTTTGAAAAAATTCTATCTTATTTGTTGACCAATTCTAAGAACTTTTTGTTCAATAATATTTTTTCCTAAAGTCCGTTATTATTGTGTAAAAAATTTCTGAACTTTTTGAAATATTTCCGGGATTGAGTCGCCATTTTGGAAATTTTCATGTTCAATTTCCAAAATCTATTGGTATCATTTGAAAGATTAGATAAAAAGATCACGATCTATGAAGGTTTTCGCCCCACTAACATGTCAAAATTGAGTCGAAAATTAGAATACAAAAAAATATTGCCGAAAAAAATTGCGTTTTTTTCACTTTAATTTGAAAATTTTCTTGGAAAATCGGAAAATTTGAAAATGTTGTCAACGGCATCTGAAAGAGTACACTCGAAAATAGTAGGGTACATATTTTTATCAAAAAATTCTATCGCTTTCATAGTTTTAGATTCAATTAAAGTTAGTGCTCTCCAAAAGTGCAATTGTGACGTTAAAGGGTTAAGTGAACGTACTAACTGCGAATAATGTTATTTTCATAACGATTTGTGTAAATTAAAAATAAGTTTTCACGTTATTTCAACAAAAACATTTCAATAATTCTATTTCGAAAAAGAGCTTGCAGATGTACGTACGTAGAAGACATGGAAGTCAAGAAAAAGTGTTATTAATAATTTCTTAGGAAATAAAAAATCAGATGATAATGCAATACTAGTAAATAATATGATTCGAAATTTCCAAGAAATGAAGGTTAACATGTTTGAAAATTCACATGATTATACACATTTAGATTTCTTCCTCGGAATTCTTGGAGCAGTGAGCAATCATCACGGAGAAAGATTGCAACAAGTAATAGCTGAATTAGAGAGAAGATACAACTTTAAAAAATTCCAAATATGTTAACCCATTACTATGGACATTTTTATCTGAAAACTGTACAGATTACAGAAAAAAGGTAGCTAGAAAAAGTTTTTAAATTTCCGATGTACACAAAGAGTAATCATGAAGATATATACATATTATAGGATCTTGCTATGAATAATTATGAAAACATATAATGTATATAAAAATATTTGCCAATGCATTTATGTTGAAATAAAGTTACAATTTTTTTACAATTAAAAAAGAGTTAATCATTAACAACATACGAGGGCGGTCCGATAAGTACTTAGCCTACAAAAGAAAAACGAAAATTTTGGAAAACTGGCGTTTTGTTTTTTAACAGTCTCCTTTTAGTTCGATACACTTGGTCCAGCGATGCTCCAACTTCTTTAACCCGTCTGAAAAATACGTTTCCTCGAGGTCTGAAAAGTAGGCTTCCGTGGCAGCGATTACCTCCTCATTCGACTCAAATTTCTGCCCGGCGAGTGACTTTTTCAAGTTTGGAAACAAAAAGAAGTCGCACGGGGCTGAATCTACAGAATATGGTGGATGGGGCAGCAGTTCGTAGCCTAATTTGACCAATTTGGCCATGGCGACGGCGGAGGTGTGAGCCGGTGTGTTGTCATGGTGGAAGAGCCCTTTTTTCTTCACCAAATGGGGCCATTTTTCTGCAATTCGACGTCGAATTGTCCCAATAATTCGGCATAGTACAGCCCTGTGAACGTTTTGTCCCTCTCCAGGTAGTCGATGTAAATCACTCCTTGTGAATCCCAGAAAACGATGGCCATCCTTCGCCTTCTTCAGAGCACTTTCGCCGGGTAAAGTCCACTGTTTCGACTGTTCCTTGATCTCTGGTGTATACCAGTGGATCCATGTTTCGTCGACTGTCACGAAACGACGCAGAAACTCCTTCGGATTGTGCCTAAACAGCGTCAGACATTGCTCTGAAGTTGTCTCACGGTTGCGCTTGTTGTCCAGAGTGAGCAAATGCGGCAGCCATCGCGCCGACAACGTCCTCATGCCCATAATTTCATGCAGGACATGACCCACGCGGTCTTTTGAGATGCCTACGATCTTAGCTATCTCGCACACCTTCAATCGTCGATCTGCCAATACGAGATCGTGTGTTTTTGTCAAGTTATCCTCCGTGGTAGCCGTTTTCGGAGCACCTGGACGTGGCTCTTCAAAAATCGACGTGTGACCACGTTGAAACTCGTTAAACCAATTTTTGACGGTCGCCATCGAAGGAGAAGAGTCACCGTACACAGTATCCAAGCGCTTTTTGATTTCGCTGCGCGATTTCCCTTCCAAAAACAAGAATCGAATCACCGACCGATACTTCTCTTTTTCCATTTTTGAAAAATCAACGGACACGCTTGCTTTCACACGCTCTCAAAAATAAACTACAACTCCGATCCAGCTGAAATCTTGACAGTAACCATGCAGAAGGTTGTACTACGTGATGGAATATTTCTTTTGCGAGAGTGGCGCCATCAGGCGGTGAGGCTAAGTACTTATCGGACCACCCTCATATGTACCTGACACTCAGCAGCCTTGTAATAACTAATAATATTAAGACCGTACTTGCATCTGTCAAGCAATTTTTGCTATAATAATGAAATTTTCGATGTTTTATAATAGTTTTATTCTGCACTGAAAGTTATAGATAGCGAATGCAGTATCTTTCACCTTATAGCTTATTTTGCTATTCCTAAACCAGATCAGGCAATCATGCGATTTTCGAAAAAATCGGTTTATGTCAATAGCAATACTTCAAGCCTTAATGCATTAATTTGATCATGCAACAGGTCATTTTAAAGGGCTTATAACCAGCTTTTTAATGAATTTTTGTAAGTTTAAAAATTCCCTTCCCATAACGAACACAGTTCTTTGAATGAGAAGTTTTCGAGTTAGCTTGTTTCACATTTAAATGAATTTTTGACCCCTTAATTTAGTCACTAGCTCAATTCTGACGAAGGATTCTTCAGAAAGTCTACTACATCAAAAAGTATGTAAGAAACCGTGTAGAGCGTGCTAGTAGCGATGATAATATCAGCGATAGTAAAGGCGAATCAAGTGATTTTAACTAGAAATTGATATTATTATTGAGCTAAATATAGTTTATATACTGAACTAGTGCATTATATTGACATACTGAATTTTTATTTGAAAAGTGCGAAATAATATTTTTATTTGTTCAAATAAATTATAAAAATTATTTTTCATCGTTAAGTATTTTTTTTACTTTTGTAACGAGGGAGGTTAGCTAGTACAATAACAATTTATTAAAGCACAAACTCCCACGATGCAGAGGTAACCGCCGCTCCGTTAAACATGTATGAGTATACGTGTATTCGTCTTTACGTTTGATACTTTCGTTTCAGTGTCTTCTTTCCAACAAAGTTGAACTCACCTTAAGTCACTTGACTTGTGACACTCGATCTATCTTAGGTGTGAGTGACCTAATGCCTATTCCACCTCATGGAGACTGTATACAGGAGGCGAGGCATGCCTATACCGTCCGTGTTAAAGCTTTCGGCAAACCCAAGTCACAGTCCTAATGTAATTAGTCGATTTTTTCTATAAAAAAGATAATTATTTTACACGGTAAAAATTTCGTGGATAGTTGACAATGACCACATTAATCATCGTAACTATCATTAAAGTTAATTATATCGAATGTTATTTATTATTAGACATTATTTTTTTTTTTTTTTTTTTATTTATTAGAGCATTTTCAACCCAGAAGAAGGGTTATAATGCTATTAGACATTATACTGTTTAATAAGGAAATATAAAAACAGAAAGAACTATAAAATTATTAAAATTGAGTGATCGAAAAGCGCATTCTACCATTTCAAAAAAATAACAAAAACGATATATTGCAAGACTTTTTCATCCTAAAATATGCAACGATTACCGAAAATCGTTCGACTCGCGCGAGGTTAATAAGCGGCTGAACGAGAGAAGCCGCGATAGGTTCGCGAGAGAGAGAGGGCGCGTAGGGGCAATGACCGGGAGGGGAGCATTCAACAGGCAGTATGACTGTGTCACTCAGTCCGCCTGCATCGTAGCTAACCCTTTTCCGAGTCGTTATCGCGTTTTCTTTTGGTGGTGCGAGGTTAGAGGCGAGAACTGTAGTGCGGTGTGCTGGGTGCAGCAACAGCAGCAATAGCAGCAACAGCAGTAGCAGCGACAGCAACAACAGCAACAGCAGTAGCAGCGACAGCAACAACAGCAACAGCAGCAGCCGTAGCAGCAACAACAACAACAGCAATAACAGCGGAGAGCGGCGAGTAGCGGAGCAGCTAATTAGCGACGTGTGCTTCGGATATGGTTGGCCACCGTATCCTTAACTATCTCGCGGTAGGTGCACCTTCCCATTATTGTTGATAGCGTGCGATCCCGCGCAGCGTGCGCGAAGAAATTAATTGTTGCGTGCGAGCGATTAGTTCGCGGCGATCGCGGTTTTTTCTCTCTCTCTCTCCTACAGCGTGTATTGTCATTCGCGCTAGCGTGCGCAAGACTCTCGGCAAATCCCCCGTGTATTTGATTTAATCGAATAAATCGGTCAATCGTTATCATTAAATCTAGTCATCGTTATTTTGTCTTTCCTTTGTCCGGAGGTCGCGTCTATTTGTTTTCGATTCAAATAAGCCGGTAGCGTAGCACAGATCACGCGGATACCGGTAGACGGGAATCGTCAACATAGTTTCCAGCAGCGGTCGCGCGAGCGCTACTAAGCATAAGGCACTATAGGTATGAGTATTCTCATCCGCCATCTTCGTGCCACAAGGAGCAGATGCTAGTAGTAGCCAGTATAGTAAACACGTTTGTTTACGGTCAACAAGATTGAAACTTTTGTTGATAATTGTATTGAATTTTATTTAAAACATTGTCTGATAATAAATTTAAATAGTTAAAGTTTCAACTGATAATATTGAAAGAAAGATTTAACTGAAAAATACCACTCAGTGATTGAATTATAAATACGTATAACCTCTCTATCCAAAAAATTCCAGTAATAATTTGGTGAGTAATGTTTTAACATTATTACTTATTTATAAAAGTCATTGTAGTTTTTTAGAGATATATATTAATGTAATAAATAATGTATTACGAATGTAAGCTTAATAAATACTTTTTTTTTAATAGATGATAAACATGCCAGTAAAAAAGGAAAGTAACGACAAAAGATCATTTGCTGCTACAACTACAATGGTAATGTGTTTTTAAATACTTATGCTTTGAAAATAAATGTGTAAAATGGTTGTAAATATAAATAATAATCATTTATTTTTCAGAAGCATAAAAGTAATGAAAAATCTGTTGACGAGGAGACCATTATGTCTTTGCTTGCTGAAAATCGCTCTTTGAAGGATCAAATACAGAGAATACATGCAATTTTGAGAGAACATAAAACTTATCCAGCAGCTTCAGAATATTTAAAGAACTGCAAGATTCGCTAACTATGAAATAATAAAGGAAGCGTGGTTAAAATTGTACATATCTTCAGAACAAAATAATTTGTATATACCAGTACCATATTTTTTGGTAAAAGATTATGTGAAATAATAATCATGTGAACCAGTAAATAAATTGTCAGAATTGTACATTGGAAATGAAATAAATTTGTATTATTTTATAATTAAATCTGTTTTAAATATATTTGTCACATCATAAAACTACATTTATGAATATAAAAATAACAATATATTTCAACGTTAAGACATGCATCAAATGCATAACTTAAATAACTTAATATTACTTTACAGTGGAAGATCCATACACAGTGGTACGACTTTTGTAGTTCTCATAAAAATTTTTTACGCAGTAAGAACGCACATTAAAAAAGTGTTTGATTATTTTATACTTAACACAGCAACATTTTGGAAAATTAATATTAACTTTTTCTAGCAATACTTTCATTAAATCACAATTTCCATTTCTTGTTATCACATCTTGGTATAAATTGAAGTAATGCTCACAGTGTAAAATTAAACTATAGGTTTGAGCACACGGTTCCTTTAAACCACCTTTGTTTAATTTTTTAGTATAATACTTTGCTTTATCTATAAAACTAATTTTTGGCAAATTTAAAGTTGTCAAAAATTGCACACACTCTTTACAAACGTGTTTTACAACAGCATTGGTTGTACTGCCAGCTAAATAAAATATACTATTTGTGTCATAATTAGAGATCAAATTACTAAAGTCATCAAACGAAAATGTTTGCACACAAAACTGAGTATCACTTGTTTTTTGCTTTTTTGGTGGAGGTTCAACAGTTTTATTTTCAACTGATACTGATTCGTCAAGAGCTTTTTTTTTGCTCGCACAAAAATCAAGTAAAAATTGATCTGAATCATTCATGTAACTTGTTCGTTTGCAATCAGATACAAACTGTGATACTGTAATTCCTTTTATCGCTCGTAAACATGCTAATGCAGTGGGCATTTTACCTTCTTTTCTTCTAATCTGTGAAAAAATGTTTTCAGTTCCGTCTTGAGTAAAACGATTTCCGCATAGAAAGTCATATCCATTTGCAAACAAATACTCAGCAATATCACAGAATGATAAAGTGGCAAGAACGAATCCATAGTTCAGTGGCTTCCATCCTTCACGAAATACGCTGTTTTGAAAAAGATCTATAACTGAATGTAAGAATATATATTTTTGATCACAATTTCTTGCAGTGATAGAAGTTTTTCGCAGTTTAGATGCTGTAATAGAGAACCAGTTTTCTATTATTAAAATAAACTTTGCTGTTGTTAAGGCTTCTTTGGGTAGAATTTCCAATTCGACTGCAATTTGCAGAGCACTTGCAGTTTTAGATGAAAAAAATCGAACCGCTGCACCGACATTCATTTTGTCAAAATTGGATGGTTCAATGTCCTGTCTTTTAAGATGATGTAACAACCGTTTTGCTCCAACATTTGATATTTCATAATTCCACAATTGGACTATGTATTTACCATCAACAACATTTGTTGGCAAATTTTCCATTTCCACAAATTCAGCGGGCAGGTACACTAACTGTCTTAACATAGCAGATTTTAAATTTTTTAAGAGATGGCAAACATCTGGTGATACATAAATCTCATGTCCATTATAAAAAAATGAGTTTATCCGCTTGCCAAATTTTGTTGCATTTATGTTGAAAGATGACCAAAGAGACCTATTTCTTCCATCTAAATCTGATGATAGTAAAAGAACGCAAAGTCCAATTTTTTCTACACTGGAAATGCAATCTAAAATAAAGTTTTTTACTTGAAGTGGATCAATTGATTCCTTGCGAGTTACGTGACAAGCAATCACTTGTTTCCATTTATTTTTTATACCTCTAAGAACTACGACAAATATTTTTTGGCCTAATAAAGATTTATCTTGTCCAAGTGTGGCGTAACCAGAAAATTCTCCTGAATTTTTGTTATAATCTAACTGTTCGCTAATACACATCTCATCGTAGGATAATACACAATACTTATCAGTTACATCCATAGTTTCAACTTTAAAGCGTAGTAATTCCAAAACATCTTCAAAAATTCCAAATTCCAAATTCATATCTTGAATTTTTCTCATTATTGTACTATATGATGGCAATGGATATCCACTCTTTCTCAAAAAATCAAAACCATGTACTGAAAGAGCAAATCTAAATTTAAGTCCTTTAATAATACTTTCATTGGACCACTGATTTAAACGACCATTAGATAATAATTTTATCTGATCATTATTCAAGAACTTGGCTAAAGCATCTCTTTTAAGACGAAGTTCTTCATTTTCTTGTTGAACAACATCATGACATACTACTAATGCTTTTTTTAACTCACTACGCAACTCTTCATTTTCTTGTTTCAGTTTTTCAATTTGTTCTGCTAGTGGTAGATTCCTATCTCCATTATCACATAAACTGTTTGTATCAATATCTATTACATTCATACTATTGAATACTATAGAATTTGATTCTTGTTCAACCATAGTTAGTGGTGGGGAAGGTATCGCTTTGACTGTTTGGGCATTCTTTGGGTTAGAATCACTATCACGTTTTTTATATGTTGATCTTCTTGGAAGAGGATCAATCCTTGGAGGTGGATTTGGCACATTAAATAATGTAGGCACAGCATTAGGCTTCAATTTTCTCCAACCATCTGCACGTTTGCTTTCAAATTGAGAATCTTCAAAGTGCACCTAAAAAGTAAACGATAAATAATTTTAGAAATATTGTCTCTAATGTATGTCTCTTTTAAAAATATCTTTTAAAATTTATCATAATAAAACTGCATTACTTCACACAAACGAGAAGATCCACTTGGTTTCCAATTACTTCTTCGCATATTTTGGATCCATATCGAGCGTCGATCATTATTTGCTGGAAAAACAAACAAGCGAAAACCTTTTTCTGCTCGGTTGCTACAATTAATTGAAGCACAGCAAGGCATCTTGACTATTTGATGAAGCTCTTAGCATTGATGTCTATGGAACAAAATATTTTTGTTGATAAATTTCAATAAGAGCTTTATAGGTTTTATAGGTTAGGATAGTAATAGTTAAGATTTATCAATTGTGCTGTGCATGATATAATTTCAGAAACAATTAAAAAATATGAAAATAGAAATGTTAAGCTTTAAAATCACGATTGATTGTTTTTAGATAAAAATAATTAACATACCTTCAATGTTTCTACAGAGAAGCTAAAAAATCTCTGTAGAGACTAGCGAACTTTGAAATTATGATGTAAAAAGTAGCTTTTTAATGTGTATTAAGACATATATCAAAAGCTATCTACTACTATTACACGATTTTCATGGAATCACTTCTTTTTCAGTCACAAATAATTTTAAAAACGTAAAAAAAACAAGCATAAAACTTATAGTAACGGCTCAATACATGTATTTTTAAAACTGTCTGCTGCAGTGGAGGCACGAATATGGCGGATGAGAATACCTATATCTTTAGTGCTCTACTAAGCAAGGGCGACAGCGCCGCCAAGCGGCGAGTTGGGGGAACCCAACTCGGAGTAGCGAAGAGACTCTGCGCAGGCGCACTCCAAGACAAGGTAGGTTGATGTGCTTCGAGCACATAGATAACTAGGCGTCGTTTAGTCATTATATAGGTACATTCAAGAGATATTATAGGCTAAACGGCAGCCTGTTACAAATATTATTAATTTTCTATAAAATTGATGGATTCCATTTTACAAAAAAAGATATGCATGGGCGGGTTATCTTCGTACAGTATATTATGGTCGATAACATGGAGACTGTATACGTCGCCATAGTCGATAAGCTGCGCTCATATTGTAAATCTTCTAGTGGTTCACTAACTACCGCGCGCGGCGCTAAAATTGGCTAATTACCTCCGAGAAAAAAAGAAAGTTACCTAGAGATAACGTCGTTGCCTCGCCTTCTGTATACAGTCCCCATGTTCCACCTAATCCCCTAGATGAAATCGGCTTAAAATTTAACCCGTAATATATCCGTTAAACTAATTGTAAGCGAAATGACGTAATGCGGCAAATAAAATTAATATCGTTTATGACTAGAAAATTACAGTCTTTATTGGGCCGAAAGACTAACGCACGCAGATGGACTTACAATTATTAATAATAATACGGGGAAAGAGAGAGAGAGAATTCGAAACTTTGCCGCGAAAATACTCTTGTTAGTATTTTGTCTCGCAATAAAAAGGGAGGTGACATATGAATTTCTTGATTACTCGACAAATCATTGTAGGCTAATAAGTCAATATATAAAAGAGCCAACCGATTTTTTTAGTCAGTTGATTCGCGACGCGCGACAATTTCATTGTATTAATTCAATTACTGCTCACGGAGTGAATTCTATTTATTAAATAAAACGAGATTTTACTAGTGTTCTTAAATATTGTGTTTAAAATTACTTGCTACAACTTCCATATAAGATAACCTCAATAATTACAAAATTAATTTAAAAAAAATAATATTAAAAAAAGGAGGAAAAAAAATATAAAAAAAGTGAGATTAATAGGAAGATATCCATCAACGAAAGTAAGAGTTGGAAATAATATTCCTTTGATCACGAACAACCTAGGTAAGTCCTACCATCATATATACATATAAATATATACTTATTACATTTTGATCATACCGTCTTAATTAAAATTTATTAATTTGAATAAATACATATCACGGCTACGGTGTTGCGACATAACAAATTGGTTCCGATACAATAAGGGTATTTGCTTTGCATAAAGTGACACTTATGCAAGAATAATTTTTAATGAACAATAAAGATTTGCCTAGTTCTAATAACGCGAAAAGACTTACACGACTTCAAGTAAAGACTAAACCTGAATTGAAAACCAGCATAATTGAACCAAGCACATCTATTATAAATCCTTTTAAAAAATCAAATAAACTGGCGAGTTCTCCCCCTAGAACAGGCAGCGAAAACAATAAAACAAAAATTACAGACGATCTAGAAAAGACTAATAAACAAACAACATAAGAAGAAAAATTAATTGATATATTGGATACCGATATTCCAGAAGAAAATTCATAACAAAAATTAATATTAAACTTTGAATATTAGAATTCACTGTTAGATTTAGACGTTACTTTCGATCAAAATTACG